AATCGTATTACTGGTGTCCATCCTGTTGCTGTTTCACAAATAATCGATTTACTGGTGTCCATCCTGTTGCTGTTTCACAAACAATCGATTTGGAGTAATTCTGAGAGTTGAATGACGTCATCAATTTTGGCTGCAAGTTTACTCGCGAGATAAAAATTATAGGTTAAATATGGATTCCCGTGATATTTGAGAAACCATTCAGAAACCGGCGACCTCTTACCAACTGATCGTGAGCATCAGCGTTTCATCAACAGGGTATCACTTAACAATATTTTCAACAATATTATTCCACAATGTGCACAAAATGAATATCATTTTATATAGTTATGTTGTCTGTAGTATCTTTTGGTTAATCTACAAAATAATTACTGTTTTAAATTCTATGAATCATTAATTAAACGCAAATATAAATTATATTTATATCTTTATTCCTAAACTGCGCTGTACACGTCCATCTTAAAGTACGAACGGCTCTTATAGCACTCACGTTACAAACTAAACAAAAAAATACAGAAGGAGCTGTTCTTTGTAGCTGAAGTTATTTTTTCAGATCGTTGATGCTTTACTGTTTTACCTATATTAGTTTTTTTTGAAGCCACAAATATTTATATAAGCCACAAAATGATTTAAGTCGCTCACAACGCTCTAAAACCCTGTTATCCCCAACCCAATAAAAGTTGTACAATATTTTATTTACATTTTTGTCTTCTTGAGCTACAAGTTTTTAGTTCGTGTGTGTATGTGTGATTATATATATATATATGTGTGTGTGTGTGTGTGTGTGTATGTATTCCTCAGTTACAGTGTATACCGCTTACATGAGTGCATGGCTTAGTGGTTAGCGTGACCCGACTGTGACTCAGAGGATTCATGGTTCGTATCCCGTTGCCACAAAAACCGTGGTCTGCACTTTGGGACCGAGTGTGTACTAAAACATTGTGTGCCAAATCCCATTATTTGTTCATATAAGCGTAGCTGTTAGCTAGCTGCCTTTCTTCAAGTCTGTCAGTTCAACATTAGGAACGGCGAGTATAGCTTTACCTGTTAAATCTAAAACAAAGTAATAGTGCATACATCTGTAAGGGGTCATTACTTTATTTTAGACCTGAAAACAGGACTATTTTTGTGTTTAACCTATAGCAATTATTTTCTTATTTTACTTTAAATACGTACTTTATAATGTGCTCAACAAACGAGAAAATGGATATTTCGAAATTCTCTCAAAACATCTTTTTTTTTGGTTTGTATAGACAACGTGTGTGCACATTTAAAATGGCGCGACATCAACGTCCCTCTGTTTTATTTTCATTATCGTTAGTAGCAGGAGACAATGACATGTCACATCTAATATTTATTTCCTACTCAGAGTAATTATGAGAAATTCCAACATAAACTCCTGCATGGTTATTGTCCCGACATATACCACAATACAGTGACTAATGTGTAGTGTTACAAATTTACATTTGCTTTAGGTTTGTTTGTTTTTATATTGAAGAATACAATATAGAATAAAAAAAAAGATAAGCGAACAGATACATCTACCATTTGATTTAAGCCTGCAGATGTTGAATTTATTGTGTCCTTGGGACTTTTTTGTTTTTTAACGACAATATTATGTTATTATTAGAAAAGTTACGCGCAACAGAAACAAACCTGAGATAGTAGAAGTATATAACCCTATTTTGTACAACAACCTGGCTTACACGGGCAAAATTAAAACAGTTGTATACAACACAGAAGAACTTGAAATTTGCCACATGAAACACAAAAATTGTAATAATTTTGTTCACAGACTAAAATATTTGTTTTTTGTCTTTGTTTCTAAAAGTGTTTAAAAAAAATAAACAATGACACTGTAGCCTCGACGAACTCCTTCAAGATAATTGAATTATACAATTCTTGATAACTTCTGAAACTTAACATTTAAAACCCAAGAGTTCAATCGAAATTAAAATTATATTTACTGTGGACTTATCAGATCAGGTGAGTACCAATAATTAAAGTACTATCTACCGTTGACTTATCAGTAAAGGTGAGTATCAATAATTAAAGTACCACCTACCGTGGACTTATCAGTACGGGTGAGTACCAATAATTATAGTATTATCTACCGTTGACTTATCAGTACAGGTGAGTACCAATAATTAAACTACTATCTACCGTTGACTTATCAGTACGGGTGAGTACCAATAATTATAGTACTATCTACCGTGTTCAGTGATTGCCAATGATGTTTAATTTATTTCTTTTTCTAGATTGCTTCCAGCTCCTCTCGGTTCAAAAACAGAGCTTAACGTCCGAAGAGTTGAGTTCTGAGAGTCGCTACTGTAATGAATATAAAGTCTTCATTGATTCTTTCCCATCAACGCTGGCGTCCTTCAAGGTAGAGACATAACGCTATCTCATTTTGATATCTTATATAACTTTTTAAAATAAAGGTGGAAAATAAATACAAATAATCACTTTGTCATAAAGCATATATATATATGAAGAAAGAAAGGAGCGATACGAGGCAGATACGATGTATAACTGAGAAACAGAGAAACAATATATCATATTATCGAAACTTTTTACGATCAATCTTATATCATAGAATAACGCAAAATTAATAGTAAAAGTAAATGGTTCATAAAACAAGTATTACTTTGATCAATTTCATATATGGTTGCTGCTTTGATACGACGGAAATATTTTAAAATTGTTCAACACAAAAATCGTTCTTGAGTGTTTCTGCTTCATTTCATAATCATTCAAAAATATCATTTTAAAATTGTTTTTATCTCCAAAATATCGTATTTTTCTGTCTTTGTTTGGTCAACACGCTCTCAGTGAAATCCCAGCGTCCTCTTGGTGCGTTAAGTTGGTTCCACTACCTATTAAGATTGATCATACTTACGAATCACGTGATTCTCTTGGCACGTGAGCACTCTTGCTTATTATGTACACTGACTGTTGAGTTCTATTTACCTGTAAACTGTCAGAATAATCTGTAGCTCTTACTTCGTCAAAACTCTTATCATAAAAGGTTCAGCAGCTAATTTAACACACCTCACATGCTTGTAATACAGACAAAAATAAGTGAGTTCCTTTTGCAGAACAAATGTATTATACAGTGGAAACGTTACATGAAGGGGCGCCATCTTGCCAATAAATATATCTGTGGTTAACTTTGATATATATTGCAAGTAATAAACTTGCCAATAAACTCTTATTTATTTTTCTAATGCTAGATGAACAGGATAATTAAAGATGATTACAGAGTAGAAATAGATCCCCAATATATGAAGATTGTGGACAGTTTAGAAGAAGCACGAAATGTTTGTTACGTTTCTGATGGGTGTACGGTAGAAACCGATCACCAACAGTAAAGAGTGTGGGCGGTTTAGAACAGCAAGGAATTTGGAGGAATTTACTGATAGCTTAATGAAAGAATTTGATTATCAATATGTAAAAATATATTGGGAATTTGAAACACTCATGGAACTTGGAGAAACGTTTCTCATATCTTAACGAAAAACAGATCAGTAACATGAAAAGATATACTGGGTAAGTTGTTACAGGCGTGGAATTTAGGGTAAAGTTTTCTCATAGGTTTATCAAAGCAATAAAGAAACCGACATGTAAAGATAGAGGGCAATTTGTAACAAGTGTAGAATTTGGGAGAAAGTATCTGACAGGTTAACTTTATGCGTTGACGATCTGAGTAATGTGTGATATTGATTTATATTTTGTGCTGTATTAATTACAATATTTTTCGCTATCAAATTAAATACTTACTGAGATAAACGAGCTCAGCTCTCGGGATCGAATCCCGTTACCAAAAATTCTCGCCCTTTCAGTCGTGGGGATGTTATAATGTTAATTTCAATCCCAAAATTCGTTCGTAATAGAGTAGCTCGTTGGAGAAAGAGTTGGTGGTGGGTGGTGTTCACTAGCTTCCTTCCCCTTAGTCTATCATTTCAAAATTAGGGGCGACTAGCGCAGATAGCCCTCGAGTAGCTTTGCGCGAAATTTAACAAACAAACTAGCAAACGAAGATAGGTCTACGCTGAACCTGACCCTCCCTGGTCCAAAACGTGGTCCGAATCCCGATGAAGATCAAAGAGTTAACTTGCTCTCCCGATTGTAACAGAAATATGCGACTCATAAATGAATAACGAATGAAAGTAAGTTTGAACTTAACGTAAGGCTCAGTTTGTTTGTTTGTTTATAAGCACATAGCTACACAATGTACTATCTGTGCTCTGCCCACCACGGGTATCGAAACCCGGTTTCTAGCGTTGTAAGTCCGAAGACCTACCACTTTGCCACTTTGGGGGAGGGCGTAAGGCTCAGCGAACCTTTCATTCACAGTTCGGATTTTTAAATATATTTACTGAAGAAACCTAGATGACCCCACGCACCAAAAGTCCATTCTTTAAGTCTTTTCTAAAATAAGAACGTTCGGGGTGTAAAATAATAACATAAGGTCTAAATTAATTTTTTTACTAAATTGGTTTGGCCTTTAGAAGTGTGTATGATGAATCTCTGATGGTTTTCTTAATGTCCTTTAGAATGAAAAAAAATGACCCTTTCGTTTTCTTTCCTTTAAAACAAACACCCAATCGTTGTATGTAAGGTTATTTAACAATTACAAATTTAAACCAACCTTAAGCTTTACATGGTTGTGATATTGATTGAACGAGTATTCTGAAGCTCGAATCTCTGAAGTAAATATTTTTTATAAACAAAATCATTTGAGAAAATGGTATTAAAATTGTTTTCAAAATTTCAAATGTTAATTATACGTGTTTATTTTCACTTTTCAATGCTATTTAATTCACCTAACGGCGTAATTAAGCACGAGAGTATTTTATCGAGCTCATAGCAGAGTATTACTAAATCCATATCAAATATGAAGCAACCACTGTCTGGTAGTGTATATTTCGTCAGTTCTTGGTATAGAGTGCTGGTTCAAACTGGAATAACAATCGACTTATAGTTGCATTTAGACGCTTGAGGAACTGTAGTTAACGTATCGTAAATCAAACGCTTGAGTAAATAAACATGGCCATGGAAGAGGAAAACAAAAGAAGACTTTAATGACACTATAATGGGGTATTTAGATAGGTGAAGTAAGTTTGGGGCAACTATCGACAATTAGAGCAAATATAGCAGTTATGGATCATTATTAACCGCATAAATGGCAATTTAACTAATAATTAGATATTTCAGAAGATAATTTATCCGACATTCTAATTACTTTAGCAAAAAGAGATTTTTTTATATACTGTTACCGAATATAGATATCCTGTTATACTTTAACAACTTAAAATACGGGCAGTAATATTAGTTTATCTCAAATTATTTCTGACGGAATAATCCGTTCCTTCATTTCTACTATCGTCCTTCTTGTTAGAGCTTAATAAAGAAAGCTTGCATGATGTTTAAAATGAAAATAATTTCTTCCAGAAAATCATGAGTAATAGTGTTGGTTATGAATGTATAGTAAAGTTTATTTTATGGTTTCTCTAACATGTAAACATGAGACTGTCGTGACACACTGGGTTCCTAGTCATGGCTCAAATGAACTTTCTGTCTAAAGACGACTGCTACTATTTATGTTGTAAAAAGGACAACATTAAAGGAGATGTATTTAGTACATTAATTCACCCGTCTAGTGTACTGCGCGGGTGTCACACATGTATAATCTAACATCACAAAGATTCTGGACTCGACTATCAGGGGAACACAATACATGTGCGTCCCTGCTGTCAATCAATAACAAGACCATAGAGCGTGAAATCTTACTGTAATGTAGATATGCTTTAATAATACCTGAAAACCTCCTCAGAATACACTTATAAAGATAATTATTAAGCCTAACTCATCAACTCGTGATTTTTAATTAAATAGGTGGGTGTGTACAATATATTTCCTGGAAATCCCGAAACCCTAATAAAAACAAAAAATCACACATTCTGCACCAAGATGAAGATGTATACACTGAGTGGTTACAAGTAAATAGACACCTAATTTTTCTTCATTTAACTGAGGACTTAAATTTGTGTTCACAGAGCACTTTATAAATGAAAATGGTCCGCACACTAATTATATTGTGCTACAACATGCCTAGAACTCAAGGTTCTTTCGAATTGTCAGATTTTGTTAGAGGAAGGATAGTTGGTCAAGCAGATGGTGATATAAGTCAGTGGCAACTTTCGCAGAATTTGGGAATCCCGCTTTCGACAGTCAACAGAATCATCG